TCAACTTGATCCAGGTATTCCCCTTCCAGGTATCTTCCCAGAAGAATTAAAAACATAACAGCAATATATGTGCACATATATTTATAGAAACACAATTTGTAATACCTAAATATTGGAAAAAATCCTAATACCTATGAACCAAGGAATAAATTTTAAAAAGATGTGGTCGTTTTATACAATGGAGTACTATTCAGCCATAAGAAGGATAAACTTGAGACTTTTATAGGTAAATGAATGCCACTTGAGACCACACTCATAAGTGAAACAAACTGGACTCACATGTGTATACAGCATATTGTCTCCCTCCTGTGAGAAACTGAAACAGTAAAGTCCAAAATGTACAATACACATTTTGAAATGCAAAGAAATTATTCAAAATATGAAAAAGAAACTAGGATGGGAGAAAGGAGAAAGGAAGAAAAAGGAAAAAAGTACAAGACAGTTATATTAATTTCCCATGGTTCATTAAACAGGTTTGTGCTAATATTGGTTGCAGAATTTTTTACGCCTGTCTTCTACTCTGAGTAACTACGTTAATAAAGGTAACAATATACAATACGTTCAAGGGGCCAGGGAGATGGCTCAGTGGAATAAGTACTTACCTGGCAAACACAAAGACCTGAGTTCAATCCCTGGTTCTGAAAAAAAAAAAAAAGAAAGAAAAGAAAGAATATACAATACATTAACTACTGTTATTCTATTTTTGCACTTTTTCTGTAAAAAAAGTACAGGAAAACAAAATGTACATACTATAAGTGATACTTGTGTATGGAACATGAGTTGTCATGTGTGGAGAGTGCCTTGAGTGTGACAACTGAAGCAAAACTTATTTCTGTGGTAGACTTTTGTGTTTACATTGTAGGTCACATATGTTTTTATTTTTGATGTTATCTTTTAGGTTTTGTAAACAAGTAAATAGCTGTGTTGGGAGGCTGGTAAGATAGCTCAGCAGTTTAAAGCACCTGCTTAGGCAAGCTTAGACAAAATGCAGGGACTGTGGTTCAATCCCCAGCACCACATGTTGCACCAGGCCCACCCCCAGGGCAGGCTGAGCCGACCACAGAAAAAAAATTTAAAAATGATAAAAAAGAAAATGCTGGGGCCAGGGAGATGGCTCAGTGGAATAAGTGCTTCCCTGGCAAGCGCAAGGGCATGAGTTCAAATCCTGGTTCCGCCAAAAAATAAAAAATAAATAAATAAAATGTTGATGTCTATTCTAAGTATTCATTACATATTGGATATTGTATTTCATTGACATCTCGTTTCTTTGCTAAGTGCATGTTGTACAATACAGCATGAGCTTCCTAACAAAACAGGAAGAGAGGTGACAAGACTACTACATAAGAAAACTAAACACACATACTGTCAGTGTAATGGAGACGTGTACCTGGTACACACAATTGTTGTGTTGTAAATACTGTAGGTTGTGACAGTTGAACCATAGTTTATTTTTGCGATAGGGCTGTAAAAGGTGATTTTTTTTTTTTTTTTTTTTTTTTTTTTTTTGTACTAGGAATTGAACTCAGGACCTTATGCATGCCAGGCTGATGCTGTACCTCTGAATTATATCCTGGGCCTTTTGTTTTTTGTAGTAGAGTTCTACTGGTATTTTTTTTTTTCCTTTGTATTTAGGACTGGGGGTACAGGGTCTCACTGCATAGATCAAACTCATAGCAATCCTCCTATTTACAGCCTCCCAAGTGCTGGGATTACAGGCACACGCCAGCAGGCTGTCTCAGTCGTCACCATCTCAGTGCGCCCTGGGAACAGGGCAGGTACCACACAGCAGGCCTGGGGATCAAACTTCTGGCCCCTGCATCTGTCTAAGCAGGCACTTTAATCCGCTGAGCAATTTGGCCAGCCCTCTACTGGTATTTTCTTTAATCTTTTTTATTTATTTATTTATTTAATTTATTTTTTTTTGTGTGTGGCCTGCTCAGCCCACCAGGGGGTGGGGCTGGCTGGCATGTGGTGCTGGGGGATTGAACCGCAGTCACTGTGCTTTGCTGAGCTTGTTCTAAGTTGGTGCTTTAGACCACTGAGCCATCTCACCAGCCCTCTACTGGTATTTTCATTGTAGTTCATATAAGAATTTATTTCTTAAAAAAAAATAAATAAATAAAATAAATTTTAAAAAAGAATTTATTTCTGATGTTCTTTTGGGTTTTGTAAACAAGTACACAGCTGATGTGAAAATATTATCTATTTTAAATGCACTATACATTTTAAAAGAATTTAATAACTGATATTTTATATTCCTGCAAGAACCTCCTGACAAAACAGCAAGACCACTGAGATGTCAGGTATATCCTATAAAAAGGTCAGGAAAGCAAAAGACATGTGCTGTCTGTGTAAGTGATGTGTATCTATGGAGCATGGTGTGGTCATGTATGCAGACTGCCTTAGATGTAATAAAAGAAGTAAAGATTTTTTTGTAGCGTGCTACTGGTATTTCCATTTTAGTTCATATGGGAATTTATTTTGCCATGTTCTTCTTTAGATTTCGTACACTAAAAACCAGTTGATGTTGAAAATTTTGATGCTTTTTCATAAACATGCAATAAATATTAAAAACTCAATACTTTATTTTTGTAATTTTTTGTTAAGTACTCATTTAATATAAAATTTAGAAGCTTTGTGCAGTGGCAGTATCATAGCCAGTGAGATTTATCTGAGGTGCAATTATTGCTAATTGAAAACTTTTCCCAATACCCCACCATGACAACTTGACATATAGTCGGCTTTGGCAATACATAAATACATATATAGAACTTAGAACTCATGAATATATATATATCTTATAAAATTAAAATAATTCATCAGTAGATGGGCCCACATTTATGCACTTTGATGAAAAATTAGTCTTATGCTCCAAGGGCTATCAAGTCAAGTCTATTTCCCCAGACAGCTTTGTCACATCGTTTCCTGTCTCACTACTTTAAGTTCAAGGCCAAATCAGAAGAAAATACATATAAAATTTCAGGTGTTGTTCTACTTCTACTTGACTGAAATCTGATTTTTAATAAATGGTCTAGGTGATTTTTAAGCATATTGAAGTCTGAAAAGCACTAGAGTAGTATCTCAGAATTAACAGGCCACAACACTTCACACATCTTCTCCAAATCAGCTCTACCTCAGGCTTTGTCATCTAAGTAAATGCCATCAAACCTGTCCACACTAAAAACTTGGGAAGGGGCTGGGAAGATAGCTCAGTAGAATAAGCGCTTCCCTGGCAAGCACAGGGTCCTCAGTTCAATCCCCGGTACCAAGAAAAACAAAAAACTAAAAGGCTGAGTAAAAACTTGGGGAATTATCTTTGCCAGCTAGTTATCTAAGTGCTTAGAACTCATGAAAAGTCACATGGTTTTGGCAGCAACAACCTGTAACTATTCTTTTCTATTATTGCATCTACATAGTTCACTCTCTGTTCGGTAGCCTGAATAATTTTTTTACTACCAATAAAATGACTTACATACACAAATCTTTTTATTTTTTCCAGAACCAGGATTGAACTCAGGCCCTTGCACTTGCCAGGGAAGCGCTTATTCCACTGAGCCATCTTCCCTACCCTACAAATCTTAAAATGTATAATTTGAAGGACTGTTAGGGGCTGGGGAGATAGTTCAGTAGAATAAGTGCTTGCCTGGCAAGCACAAGGGCCTGAGTTCAATCCCCAGTTCTGCTAAAAAAAAAAAAAAAAAAAGAACTTTTTTTCCCTTAGGATTGTTACTAAAGATACTTGCATGTAATTATTCAAAATATTAAGTAATCCTTTTTAAAATTTTATTTAAAATGGCTTTACTTCAGCACACAGTGTAATCTCAGCATTGGGAAAGCTGAGGCAGGAAGATCATTACAAGCTCAATGTCAGCCTGGACTACACAGTAAATTAAGGCCAGCTTGATCTCACTAAACTACATAGTGAGAGCCCATGTGAAAAAACAAACAAAAGATATGTATTTCAAATCACGACATACCCTTGCTTAAAATTATTTCATGCTTTCTCAACCCCCTTGGAAAATCTAAACTACAAAGTCTCACATGATCCAAACTTTATTTTGTATCACTTTCCCCTCCCTCACCACACTCTGACCTTTAAATTCCTCCAACTGCAAAGATGTTCCTGCTTTGCAGCAGCCTTTCCTTCAGAAGTGTACCCTCCCCCTTCTAAAACTTCTGAAGCTATTTCCAGGGCTAACATTTTGTGATTTAAATCTCAATCTAAATGTCACTTCCTCTGAGGCCTTCCCAATTTAATGACGCATCCAACCACATTTTAGTATATTCCTTTAATCATTTGGTGAGTGCTTATAATTTCTACTATTTCCTTTATTTACTGCCTGTCTTTTCCTCACTTGAATACAACCTCTTTTGGGTTAGTTTTGTTCTGTTTACTCACAAATGTCTGCTAGCAGTGAACAAAAATTTTCACTCCATGAATAATAATACAAATAAAACAGGGCATAGCTGGAGGGAGAATGGTTAGCACTTAGCTCTGAATCTAGTTAGTAAAGTGGAGAATTAAATTAGGTAAAAGCCCATGACAATTACGTGTTCACTAAGTTATCTCTTTTCGTCTAAGCATACATACCTTTAAATCATTATCTACTGCAAACATACCCTAATAAAGATGTTTTAAAATTAAAGCCCTTTAAAACTATCTTCAGCAATATGTTGACCTTGTTTCGCCTTCGAAAAGGGACTTAAAATCTGAGGCCTTCCGTTCACATGACCCACCGCCGCACACACACCCCGGGTCTTAGCATACCCGGGTGCCACACAACTACCGAAGCGAGCACCCCCTTCCCGCCCACCCCAGCAGCCGGAAGTCGGCGCATCCCGGGACCCCGCCCCAGCTCCGCTCAGGCCCCGCGGCTGGACGCAGCTCTACGTAAAGCGTAGGGGTTTCACGACAGCGCAGGCCCCACCCCTCTGGCCACATGTCGCGCAGGTCTTCCCATCCGACGCCGCGCCACCACCTCGCGCAGCTTTACGAACCTAGACAGCGGCTCCCCGCCTCCTGTCTCCGTCCTCACATCCCCGCCCCCTCTCACTGTCGATTCTCCTACCCCGGCGCGCCCGCTATAATCACGTGATTGCTTCATCCGGGTCCTTTGGGTTCTCGCTCCCTCTCCCAACATGGCGGCCTCAGGTGAGTGAGCGGCCGAGTGCGGCCAAGGACCAAGGTCCGAAACCACTCTCGTTCCAGATCCAGTAGTTCTTGGAGTCGGGGTGTGGGTGACACCGGCTCTCTTCTGGATCGGGTGCTGCGCCAGGTGGCCAACGTAGTCTTGTTAGGTTACCGTCTCGGAATGTTTGGGGGGAGGGGAGATGTCCTTCCCTCCCCCTCACACCCTTTTCACCCCTTTTGCGCGAGGTTGGAGTAGGCAGTAATGGTGGACTTTGGCTTGAATTGGTGGAGGAAGTGCAGAGATCTGGGGGAAGCTCAAGGCCTTCTCATAGACGTGAAGCCCTGTCCACGTGAAAGCGTGGAGGGAGGAAGGAGGCGGTTGGCGCGCGGACGGGTGCACATTAGACTAGGTTTGCGAGGCGCGAGGCCGTTGCAGACGGGTGGGGGGATAGCAAGGGAAGGGGGCGCAGTTAGAACGCGAGCGCGAGTCTTTGGAGGGGCGGGGGAAAGCGACGGTGCGCGTGCGCGGTAGGACTGGCGAGGATAGTGGCGACTGCGCGCCTTAGAAAGAGTGCACTAGAGTCCAGATGGAAAGCTTTTAGGCGAGCGTGTGGCGCTCATTTATGTGCTACTTTATGCACTTCCTTGTCCGGCCCCTGTACTCCAAAGGGATGTGTATTAGGTTGGTGAGTTAGTTAGGGGAAGGGAACCGAATATGTTGTCCACGTGTTTGAGCAGAGGAAGCAAGGGTGGGCACAGAGGTTTTTTTCTATACTTTTTCTTTCTCTGACTCAGAATATTCTTACTGAGCACACACTATATGCCAAGTACAGTTCTGAGTGTTAGAGATAGACTTTGTTTTAATTTTGGCAATTGTAACGATAGGGTTCAGCTTTTTATTTAGGTAACTAAAACTTAAAGGACATGCTATTAAAATGATAGTTTTAAAAAAGACTTTTCGAGAATTATCACTGCCATGCAAGATTTACTTGCATGTGTAATGAGCTTATAAGAACAACAATGGGAAGTGGGGATAGTGGTGCACATCTGTAATCCCAGCACTTGGGAGGCTGAGGCAGGAGAATCAGTGCAAGTTCGAGACCAGTGTGGATTACAAAGGGAGTACAAGACCTGTGTGATACGCCTAGTGAGACCCTGTCTCAAAACGAACAAAAAATACAGCAGTGGGCTCTATAACATTTTCAGCACTAGTGTTAGTTTTAAGGTATGCTTGCTTTTTCCTGGCATGACCCTGTATTCTGCAAAGCATCTTTTAAACTGCTGTTTCTAGACACTAATTTCTAGATCAGGAATTCATCTTCCCTGTTATTACAAGAGAGTTAAGTGAAAGGGTTGTCTTTGGAAAATGTTGACAGAATTGAAATCATTTGAGCAGAATAACTTTCATTGGTGTAGTGTTTAATAGAGCTAACACTTCTGTGAAATGTCAGTATCTCCCTGCTGAAGAAAATGAAAGATTTGTTCAAGGTCACACTGCTTGTAGGTGCCCAGAGCAAGATCAGAATCATATAGGGTCTTAACTTTAACCAACCTAGAAGTACCAATGTGTCATTCTGAGTTTAAGATGCTCAAAAGTATCTGAAGTTTACAGAATTACATATATTTAGCGGATAAGTACTTGATCTAGATTTCCCACCTTGACTGGTCAGTATCAGTTTGGCAAAAAGGCTGTATTTCCCCTTCTGTAAATTCTTAGGGAAGTTTTAGAGGTGGAAAGGGTGATATTAGTTTTGTTTTGTGCTGTTGAGGAAAATACAGAATAGTTATATAGAGGTTTGTGTGGTAGTGTCCTCCATATTTACGCCTTTGGAAAACTTTGTTTTAGTTTTTCTGAGACAGGGTCTCACTTTGGTCTTGAACTCCCTGTTTACTCCAGGCTGGCAGCAGTCATGTCTCAGCCTCCAAAGTGCTGGGATTACAGGTGTTCCCTACCACACCCAGCTAACCTTTGTCTACTTTAATTCAGTACATCTTTTTAGCTTTGTTGGTGTGTAAACACAAGTATATCTTCATCTGCCCTTTTGAAGAGTTTGGAATTCAGCAAATTTCTTTCCCCTTTTTTGAATCTTTTCCAAATACACTAAGTGATCAGTATGCCTAGCAGTTGAAAGTAGGCCTTACTTTGCAGAAATACATGGTACAATTTCATAGATCTTTTTCACTATTCAGTGAAACTAAAATTTTGCACCAATACCCATCTCCAGTGTGACTTTATTTTTTGGGACAGGGTCTTATTGTGTAGTTCAGGCTAGCCTTGAATTCATGGCAACCCTCTTGCCTTAGCCTCCTGAGTGCTGGGATTATAGGGGTTTATGCTGCCACACCCGGATTGAGACCATTTATTGATCTTAATAACTGAAAGTGTCTCAGAAATAGCTATGCATTGAATGAGGCATTGATTAAGAATCATTTAAAGTGCTAGGAGACTTGATACGCTAAGCTTGAGCAGTTAGGGTGTTTTTTGTTTTGTTTTGTTTTGTTTTAATTTTATTTGTGTGTGTGTGTGTGTGTGGCCAGCTCAGCCCACCAGGGGGCAGGGCTGGCTGGCATGTGGTGCTGGGGGATTGAACCGCAGTCCTTGTGTTTGCCAAGCTTGTTCTAAGTAGGTGCTTTAGACCACTGAGCCATCTCACCAGCCCCTAGGGTGTTTTTTGGTTGGTTGTTTTTTGTTTTGTTTTGTTTTTTTGGTACTGGGCATCAGATTCTGGACCTTGCATTTGCCAAGCAGAAGCTTATGCCACTGAGCTATTTCCCTGGCCTGAGTACTTAGCTTTTTAATTGGCAACTTTAAAAGAATACCCCTTAAAAATAGAATAATTTTTCTTAAGTTCTCATTGTATCTATTTTAGTAGGGGTGTTATAACCTGTTAACTGTTGACTCCCAATTTCCTTACCTGATGAAAAGTAGACATAGTTTATCTGCTGTCATACAAATAAAGAATCAGTGCTGGGGAGATAGCTTAGCAGCATAAGCACCTGCCTGGCAAGTGTAAGGTCCTGAGTTCCAGCCCCAGTACCAAAAATAAAAAATCAAATGTATTTGATGCAAGTCATCATTTAAGAAGATTTAACATTAGGTTACCAATGGTGGTGTATGCCTGCAAATGTAGAACTTGAGAGGCCAAAGCAGGAGAATTTATTACATAGTGACACCCTGTCTCCAAAAAAAGATTTAACATTGAGAATAGCATGTGTAAACCAATGCATTGGCCCTTCATTTGCATAATGCTTTGCGATACCCTGGTGTGTGGTTTCTTTTTTATAGAAGGTGGTGCTCATTGGTTTTCATACAGTGAGACCCCTTATAATTAAAGGGTTGCCACTATACACAGATTTCCCGTTTTCCACTTCCATCCTCTACCATGTTTTTGTTATTTTGAGAGTAGGGTACTTATCAGAAGGCCAAGGCCAAAACTCCTTATAAAAATTCAAGTACTGTACACAGACCACTTTCAGCTAACTGAAGTCAGGCTTCTAAGTAATGGCAGTGATAAAAGGCATGGATTTTAAAGACAACATAAGTACTTACTTGTAATTAACTGTATGTTTTTACCTCAAGGACTCTAAAACCAGGTTCTTAGATTTATAGTATTGCTTAGGTCCACTAGGAGGAAAATGCCCAAAGCAAGAAATTTAGCTTGAGTATTTTTATATGAGTGTCCCTTACAGGGAAAAGGCACTTTAGCATTTTCCTCATTGTGTCAGGATAAAGAAACTAGACAGAAAGGAGAGGTCATATCACTAAACACAGGGGTGGAAGTCATTAAGATATACGTAATGGAAGTCATTAAGATATTCATATTTAGAATTTATCATTTTAAAATAATTTAGTGGGTAGGCCCTTGTGGGCTCGAGATTGAATGCTGGGCTATGTGCTCGCTAGACATGTATTTTACTACTCAGCTACATACCCAGCCCTGTTGGTTTTTAATACATAGCTGGACATGGTGGTGCACACCTGTAATCCCAGCACTCAGGAGGCTGAGGCAGGAAGATTGCTGCAAGTTCAAGGCCAGCCTACACTGCATAATGAGTTCAAGGCCAACCTGAACACATAGTGAGACCCTAACTCAAAAAAAAT